TTGCGAAATTTACATATTAAGTAGAATTATTCGCGGTGCGGTTAGCTGGGCTAAGTATAAGATTAGAGTTAATACATAAAGTAGCCTTCTCTGTATATTTATTTGGCTTTAATGCAGAATTTACACATAAAATAGTATCTTCTCGACCAAAGTTTTACAAACTTTACAGATTTAGAGGCATTTTTCGCGTTGCAATTAGCAAAGTTTGCAGTTTATAAGTATAAAATCAGAGTTAATACATAAGGTAGCCTTCTCTGTAGATTTAATTTGCTTAAATGCAGAACTTACCCATGAAATAGTATCTTCTCGACCAAAGTTTTACAACATTTACATATTGAGTAGCATTTTTCGAGTTGCAGTTAGTCGACTTTGCAGTTTATAAGTATGAGATCAGAGTTAACATATAAAGTAGCCTTCTCTGTACATTTATTTGGGTTAAATAAGTTATACATAAAATAGTATCTTCTCGACCAAAGTTTTAAAAAATTTACATATTTAGTAGCATTTTTCGAGTTGCAGTTAGCTGAGTTTGCAGTTTATGAGTATAAGATCAGAGTTAACACAAAGTAGCCTTCTCTGTACATTTATTTGGCTTAAATGCAGAATTTATACATAAAATAGTATCTTCTTGCCCAAAGTTTTACAAAATATACACATTAAGTAGTATTTTTCGAGTTGCAGTTAGCCAAGTTTGCAGTTTATAAGTATAAGATCAGAGTTAACACATAAAGCAGCCTTCTCTGTCATTTATTTGGCTTAAATAATTTACACATAAAATAGTATCTTATCGACCAAAGTTTTACAAAATTTTCACATTTAGTAGCATTTTTCACGTTGCAGTTAGTTGGGATTGCATAATGTAAGTATTAGGTCAGAGTTAACACATAAAGTAGCCTCTTCTGTATAGTTATTTGTTATTTGCAGAATTTACACATAAAATGGTATCTTTCGCCACAAAACTTTTGCGAAATTTTCACATAAAGTCACATTTTTCGCTCTGCATACGGCTTATACAGTGAGCATCATAAGTCTTACCCCCCCTAACTAACTCGTTACTGGGGTCTTGTTAGGAAAATCGCCGAGACAGGTCGATTTTTTATTTCTACAATGTACATTTTTGTATGAATAGTTTACCCTTAATTTCATCCCTTACTGGAGGGGAGCAACCCTTTCGAAAAATTTAAAAGGCATGGGGTGGTGAGTGATAGCTCATTTGAAAGGGGGTTTTATTCTCTATTCAACTGTGCAAAAAATTTTAAAATTTGCTTTATTACGTGTTGATTTATTAATGTTTAAAAATAACAAAACCTCACAAAATAGGAAAGCAACTAGACTAACAGTGACCTTCTAATGGCAAAAACTCTTACTTCACGTCTGAACCAAAACCGAAATCATGCAGGGCCGAATTTTAATTCTAAAGATGAGTGCGCTACGTTAATTTCCGTTATTCTGAAACAACAATTAGTCGAGAATTAATGAAGCAAATTTCAAATTTTTTTACACGGTTAAATAGAGAATAAAACCCTCTTTCAAATGAGCTATCACTCACCACCCCATGTCATTTAAATTTTTCGAAAGGGTTGCTCCTTTCCAGTAAGGGATGAAGTTAAGGGTAAACTATTCATACAAAAATGTACATTGTAGAAATCAAAAATCGACGTGTCTCGGCGATTTTCCTAACAAGACTCCAGTAACGAGTTAGATAGGAGGGGTAAGACTTATGGTGCTCACTGTATGAATAATGTATCTTCTGCATATTTATATGTCGTCTAAATTCAAAAATGTACAGTGAAGCAGTATCTTCTGCAAGCTAAAAATCAATTAAATTATGAAGAAAATCATTCTCAAACCTGTACTAGTATAAAATCAGAGTTAACACATAAAGTAGCCTCCTCTGTACATGTCTGTGTCTATAATGCAAGATTTACACATAAAGTAGTATCTGCCCTCATCAAAGTTTTGCACATTAAGTAGTATTTTTCGTTGGGCAGACGGATTTTATGAATGACTGCACCGTTAACACATAAAGTAGTATCTTCTGTATATTTATTTGTCGTCTAAATACAGAAATTTACACATAAAGTAGTATCTTCTGCAAGCTAAAAATCAGTTAAATAAAAAGAAAAACATTATTTTCCTACCTTAGTTTTTACTCATGATTTTATAATTGCTGAAATGTGGTCGGTTTAACGATGTGAATCAGACGACACAACAATTGGTAATGAGTAATGTAGTACAGGCAGCGATAGAGTCACGTAAAATTTTAAATTTAAACATGTGAGTCAGCGGCGTAACATAGGTGTACTACATGGTTATCTTTATTTTCACTAACAAGGATGTAAAGCATAATAAAATATAAGTTGCAAAAGGACACATATTCCCTCACGAATTCTAATTTGGCCACGAGCGACGAAAAGGCGAGTGTACGAGCCTTTTGAAACGTGTGTTTTATACCATTTTCTCGATTTTGGGCTTTACTTTTTTTATGTCGAACACAATAAAAATACTATTTAAAAAAAACTGCTTATATTCTTTCTATAAATTGGCAGGCTTGGGCCTATTATTTCAAATAAAAGTAGCGTCATTATTGAATGTTATAAAAAGCTTTATTCTTCAACGATTTTGCTTGTGAAAATATGACGAAAGAGATCTTTATTATAAGTAATAAAAACGCTAGATGTTGTTGCCCCAGATATTCTTTATAGAACTGGATGTCAAACCCGTTCTCAAGAACGTTAGTTACTACAAAAGATCGAATTAGACAAGATACTTTAAACAAAGATTTAAGGGTATTCACAATATATCTGAAAAGGTCGAGGTAGGGAAGGCCGCATGGCCCACAGTCTCAATTAAATCTAATCTATCTATTTCTGAATAGTACTCGGTACAAAGTAAAATTGACTAATCTCAATGAGGCAGGGCTTCATCAAAGGATAAAGGAGGTCCATCTTCAATGATATGTAACATCTACCGTTTCCTCTAAATCAGTATATATTTGTAGTATCCAAACTATTATTTTTTCTTATGTCCTCAAGACGTTAAATACTATCCAAATCAAAAAATCCATGTAGCTTGCAAATAGTTTAGTATCCTAGATCATTCCTTACATTACAAAGAAAACATTATCCAAATCATTCTTCATATTATCAAGTAAAAAACCATCCAAATGTTGCAAAGCATATTTAATCTTATGGTTTTTAAAAATAAAAAAGCATGACATTATCAGCAGATTACCTTGATCTACTAATGTGTCTCAATATTAGTATGGCCCTGATTTTGTCTTCACCCAGTAGACAACGGTGAAGCAGTGATGCAGGATACATGACCTTTTATAATACAGTTCTGTTGAAATATTAAATTATAGCAGACTGAAAAACCGTGGCAACGCTTTACCGATCCCTAAAAGAAAAGCAGGAGTTTTTTCCCCATTTATTTACTTAGCTGCCGCGAGGAAAGTGGGTATAAGAAAATTTACTCAGGGCCATAACTTCACACCTATATTCTGGAATATTTGAATTAAAAGTTTTACTTTGGCTATAATATTCTATAATTTAAAATTTGCTGTGGTCGGCTAAGTATAAAGATTGTAGTATCACATGTGCCTGGCATTTTAAAAACGCAAAATAAAGAATGTATACGGGATATTCTTTTTCACGGAGAATGTTTGGCAATCCACTGTAAGACTAAGGGAGATCAGAGCCGTGTAGTCACGACGGGGTCCAATAATTCCTCAACATTTAAATTTCTAATATCTAATTTTTATTTTTTCTGTATACTTTATATTTAGTATAACTTTATAAAATGTCAGTAATCTTATACTTTAGTATTCTTTTAATGCGCATGTCCACTTCACTTTATAATAATGATTAGAATTTTCATTTTACAAGCCTCGTTTTCATACGTCCATTCTTGTTTTGTCGTTTGTTTATTTTTAAATTTTAAGCGAAATACCGTTTCCTTCTTTACTTAAAATGTATGCTGTGTATTTTGGTAATAAAGATGAGTAGCTGGAAAAGGGTATAAAATACGTTTTTTCAAAATTTAACGTTAACTACTTATGCTTGAACCCGTTAAATAAGGAAACAAGGTCTTCTGTTCCTTTAACTTCAACTCTTCTCATCTAGGAACTGTGTAAGCAATAACTGTATCTTCTGCTAAACTAAAAATTTTTCTTATAATATGGATGGTAAGTAAACTGTTAATGTAAAGAGAGAACAGAATAGGTCCAAGAACTGTACCCTGTGTAACTTCATATCATATTGTTTCCCATCACCATAAAGAGTGCTGCGGTCGTCATAAGTAAGAAAGCGGGAGAATATTCGAGAAATATCAAGAAATGTAATTTCACGTCTAGCGAAATGCACGAGTGGCTACAAACTAAAAATATTGAATTTGTTATAAATATAAAACGGTGTCAACTTTTATACCCAATTCGACAACAAAAAGATGCACGTAATTTGTATTTAGTCGATGAAATGTCAAAAAAAGTCAGTAAAGTTGTGTTGCGGCTGCCCCCACACCACTGCGAGTTAAATCCCATAGAATTGATATGTGCACTGATAAAGAATGAGGTGGCAGCTAAAAACTCAACTTGTTAGTAAAAAAAGGCCTTTTATTACAAGCTATTAAAAATGTAACGCCTAAAAACTGGCACAAATGTACACATGTGATCAAGAAAGAAGAAAAAATAATTACACTGGATGGAATAATGGATGATATGATAGAACCCTTGGTAATAACAGACAATAATGGAAGCTCAGACGAAATTGAATCTTTTGAATCCGAATATTCTGATGTAGATTATTATATTGAGTATATGTAAATGTCAAGATGTTCCCTTAATATTGGGGGCGCAATTGTGTTTTTTGCCTATTGACGTATTCAAAGCTTCGCGGGTCCATACAACACACATTTTGGATCCACTTTCAGAGCGTCTATAACCGTATGACTAAGAAAGTGTGCTAACAGTAGTATACCCTATAAATAATACGATTGTTCAGGAAGAATTATCTAGATACCTCAAAAATGACAACATTGTTGTACATAAAAGGCTAATAAGTTTTGTTCAGTCGCCTCCTGATAATATTGATATCCTGGAAGACATTTTAGACAAATCTCCTACATTTCATGGGACTGGTTGGTTTTAAAATGCATCATTACTTGATGCAAGTAGTAGAAATTGTATTATTCTTCCTTATAAAACCAATCTTGATATTCCTTATATTTTTATTTTGTATTATAAAAAAAATATGAAAACAATTCTGCAAATTAGAAATAAAATATTTATTTGTCAACCAAGGCCGTAAAATTTATCTTTTTTTGGCAAAATAATCGAAACTCCACTCTAACTCAATACACGACAAGATAACCCATTTTCTTAAAATTTATCAAGCTATAACAAGGAAACCACTCGACAGCAACGTCAGTTATTCGTTCCTTAAGTGAATTTATAATTACACAGCATGAGATAAGGTACTATTATGGACAATTTGAACCGCTTGTCGTTAAGAAATAACCAAAGCCCAAAAAAATAATTATGTGCCCTATGTAAAAAAAAAACTTTCAAGTTCTGAATGGACCTTGGTGTAAATGGCCCTTACATATCTGCAGGCATAAAGTCGAATTAAAAAAAACGACTTTATCTATTACATCGTCAGCACCCGAATAGGTTCAATTAAACTTTCCAAGCTCAAGTTGAACTAATGATCATTGCTTCCTAAAATAATTAATGAAGGTTAATTCATTGAAAAAGGGTAGGTTTTTAATTACTTCTGATATTAAAAAGGTCCTGTCATCAACCTTTATTAAAAACTTTTCCCCCTATAAAGCGTAGTGACACCTTTACTGAATCTTCAGAATGACAGAAAATTAGTGTAATATCAATAATCCCATTTACATTTAATTCACGTTCCTTCGCTGTCATTAATTCAACTTTTGATGATTTTGGACTTTTATTATTCCCGAATAAAACCACTACTGTTTCAAAATAATGGACAGTGGGAAAATATCAGGAATGTGTAGTGGCATGCTGACATCTGCCATCGTTCCAAATTTTGTAGAGATTTTGGAAGCTTACGGGGTAGGGGGAAATGTTTCCAGTGGCAGGCAAATTTAATGTTTTACAGGTACACGACAAATATGAATTTTAATTTAATACAAAAATTATTTTCAAAATTTTCATAAAATGAGATCTGTTATTCTTGGTACATGTCCAAACCATCTTTGAGGTGTTACCGTAGTGAGTTGGTTCGCCAGTAGCCATATATGACAATATCAAATAAACACCAGTGGTCCATAAATAACGGCCTTTAGCATAATGGTAGCATTACTTTCAAAATATTAAAATCAAATTTAACTTTCTTCAATAAAATACTGAACATTAAAAAGTTCAAGGTGTCAAATTTGAAATCATTATGTTGCTTTTTCGGTAGTAATTTAAAATTCTGTGTATAAAATGTTGTCGACTTTGGCAGAGTGTTATTATTTTCTGCTCGGTGATAGGCAGTTATTTAGCTTTGAGGCCTATATCAGACTATGTGTGTTTTTAATTAATTTGCATGGTTCGTTATAAGATTTGATGTGTGCCGTATTAGTAGAAATATAATTTTTGTTGATACAGCAAGCAAATTAAAAATCGCTATGAGTTACCGTTTTGATAAAAGTGGAAAGGTTTACCTGGTTTTCCTTACCTATAAGTAAAATGGCACCATCAATCAGCATTAATTTGCCCCGGAGCGCCACGAACAATAATTATAACAGCCATCAATAACTGCAGTTTATTGGGTGAACGTTAAAGTGTACAGAACAACTTAAGGAGGTCCTTTCGCCACCAATATTAAATAAAAAATATTAGATTATTACTAAAATTAATTTTTTTCTAATAGTTGAAGTCTTTATTTATCTAATAGTGAACTTTTAACTATACCTTACCGTGCAAATTTTTGAGAATTTTTTTTTTTAAAAATGTGAGTATTTGTACAGTGTCTTATGAGAAAGTATGACTTCAACAACAATTTTCGAATTATAATTAAGTATACTATTATTTATTGATTAGATGGAGTAGAAAACAACTAAAAATAAGGTTTCTGAAATATTTAGGTTTTGTTTTTTACAATAAAATATATAGGTTACCGTGGAATTTATTGAGAAATTAATATTTAAAAATCACAAAAAATTTTCAACTAGGTTACTTGAAATTTATTTTTAATATTAATTTCTCAATAAATTCCACGGTAACCTATATATTTTATTGTAAAAAACAAAACCTAAATATTTCAAAAACCTTATTTTTAGTTTTTTTCTACTCCATCTAATCAATAAATAATAGTATAATTCGAGAATGATTGTTGAGGTTTTACTTTCTCGTAAGACACTGTACAAATACATTTAAAAAAAAAAAATTCTCAAAAATTTGCACGGTAAGGTATAGTTAAAAGTTCACTATTAGATAAATAAGGACTTCAACTATTAGAAAAAAAAAATAAATTTTAGTCATAATCTAATATTTTTTATTTAACATTGGTGGCGAAAGGACCTCCTTAAGTTAAAACAAAGTTAAATAAAAAGACAAATAATGAGCAAGTACTGTACTTTTTATAATTGCACATAGAGCATATCCGCTACCTTATTGTCAGATTGAGTTGTATTAATATGTTCGCTAAATAAAATAAATATTTTTCTATAATAAGTAATTATTTGTTCGATGATATCTTTTAATTTTACAGAATATTTAATTTATTTAATTATTAAATGGAAGGTCTGTTCTGAATGATGCATGTGTTTTATCAATTAAAAGAGGTTGAACAGATGTTTACCAAATGTTGACCAAATATCAGTATCATTATAATTGCATGTTGATTAATTTTTAGTATAAATTGGATCGTTGGAAATGATTTAAGGGGGGTTAATAAATAACAAAATAAATGTGATTAAAATAACAGGTACTTAGTAATCACATTTTTTCTCTTGAAAAATTTAAAATTGATTATGGTTAAGAAAAAAATTAATAAATGTGAATTACGCATTGGCTGTGTAAATACGCGATCATTACTAAGTAGTATCACTGATTTGATAAATACAAAGAGGTTAGAAAGGGTAAAGGTAACAGGAAGCATTTGTCGCTGCGCGAATTTTGCCAAAACCGAAAAACTGGGTGGAAGGAGTAGGGAGATGTTCTGGGCCGGACTTAAATATTTGTATTATAGTACCTAATTTTGGTAGGTAACTGAAAGATGAAAAATTATGAGACTTTTTTGACTTTATTTGTTAGCACGATTCATTTATGATGAGGGCAATAACACTTTATCAATATATAGCATAAAAGGGCCGATTCCACCGTTGTGTCAAACGAAGTTTAAATTACTAAACGAAGAATAAAATTACATTGTTAATGTAAAAATGTCATTTTAATCTCCATTTAGTAATTTAAACTTCGTTTTTGTTAATATAAAAATGTCATTTTAAACTTCGTTTAGTATTTTAAACTTTAACAAAACTGTGAAATTGACCCTAAGTAAAACTTTATACAATTATTATAACAAAATAGCTGTTGAGACAAAAAGTTATCGAAATAGCCAACGTACTTTTTGATTGAATTACACACAAGATTTTTTTCTACAATCACACCAAAATAAAATAAATAATTAAATTTTATTAGAAATGCGTTACCATTTCGTTCGTTATAATATTTTAAATTTATTTGACATAAGCCTACTCTTCGAAGAGAAAAAAATGTTTTGGTACTTATATGCCAGTAATTATTTATGATTTGATTATTAACTATTCAATGATTTAAAATATTGGGAAGTTAATTAATGCTATTTATGTAACCAGTTACGAGTAAATATTTGCGGGACGAGCGAAGTGAGCTTTTCTTTTTTGTTTTGTGTTGTTAAACGTAATGTCATATTTTTAAATGTGAAATGTCACTATGCATTGCCTTTTTTTTTGATTTTTGGTTTTTTCGATTTTTCGTTTTTTTGGATTTTTGGATTTTTTTATTTTTCGATTTTTAGATTTTTTGATTACTCGATTTTTCGATTTATCGATTTCTCGTTTTCTCGATTTCTCGATTTCTCGATTTCTCGATTTCTCGATTTCTCGATTTCTCGATTTCTCGACTTCTCGATTTTTCGACTTGAAAACCAAAAAGATGCAGTTTTATTTATTTTTATTTCGTAACTGGAGACATAATCAACTTTTCGTAATCCTACTTTATGCAACTGGTTGCATAAAGTAGATCGTTTTGACATTGCTGCGATTACAAAATATATTTCTTTATATGTCAAAATTGGAGAAAATAACAAAATGTAAATTAAATGGATAGATCCCATATTATTATAAAGCAGTGTTTCTCAAACTTTTTTGGCGACGGAGCCTTTTTGAAAAGCGAAATATTTAACAGATAAAACACATAATTTAAAAAATATTATTTAAATTTTTCTTCATTTTGACTCTCATTTTGACTTTCAATAGGTAAACGCGATAAAAAAATCGGCTTTATATTATGCTCCGATTTCACATATTCAATTTTATAATAATTGTAATTTGACAATATTACTGTTCATCTACGTAGTCTGTTGGCTGAAAATTGGGGTACACCTTTACACCTTTAGCTGGGTTAAAAATAGTTACCAGAGGTAAGTTATCTGTAACTAGGGTACAGAAATGTCCATATAAATATTTATTAAATTTATTTAAGCCAAATATTATTGCAAGGCTCTCTTTTTCAATTTGGGCATATTTCTGTTCGGACTTTGATAAGGTACGCGAAGCAGAAGCTATAGGTTTTTTAATATTTTTTTTTTAAAACATGACATATCATGGCCCTTATTCCCACATTTGATGCATTTACGATTAATTTAATCGGCAACTCAGGCTGAAAATGCACAAGAACATCATTTGTTGTTAATTTATTTTAGATTAATTCCAAAGATTCCTTGCAAGAATTATCCCAAATCCTTCCTCTTAGTGACTTAAAAAAATTACTTCTCAAAAAACAGGTCCTCAAGCCAGGTCTCTCCATTTTGTGGCGATAGTACTGTTTTTTTGTATTATGATTATTTTCTTCGCGGAGCCCTCACAAAGGCTTTGCGGTGCCCCAGGGCTCCCCGGAGCACACTTTGAGTAACACTGTTATAAAGAAATA